ACGAATGACGTGTGGAATTCGTCCGGAATTCGTCCAAATTTCCTTAAGAATTCGTTTAGAATTCGTTCAGATTTCCTGTCGAATTCTGGAAAACGCCGTGTGGCGATTTGAAACAGAATTCGTCCATAATTTAATCGGAATTCGTGCAACTTTGATAAGAAAAATGAATACAAAAAAATTTTCTCTTAAATTTCCGACTGAATTTCGTACGGTATTCGTGCGAATTGCTAACGAATATTTTAAGAACAGTTCGTGCGGATTCCTATAAGAAATTGATAGAAATTCCGAACGGAAATTTGGATGAAAAAATTTTTTAAAAAAATATTCGCCCACTTTTCCGACCGCATAGTGCGCGGTATTCGTACGAATTACTAACAAATTCTTTAAATAATCTTCGTGTGGATTCCTATAAGAAATTGATAGGAAATCCGCAAGGAATTTTGGCTGAAAATTTTTTTTAAAAAAATATTCGCCCCCTTTTCCGACCGAATAGTGCGCGGTATTCGTACGAATTCCTATCAATTTCTTATAGCAATCCACACGAAGTTTATATAAAGAATTCCTTAGTAATTCGCACGACTACCACGCACTATTCGTTCGGAAAAGTGGGCGAATATTTTTTTAAACAAATTTTTCATCCAAAATTCCGTTCGGAATTCCTATCATTTTCTTATAGGAATCCACACGAAGTTTATTTGAAGAATTTGTTAGTTATTCGTACGAATACCGCGCACTATTCGGTCGTAAAAGTGGGCGAATATATTTTTTAAAAAAATTTTTATCCAAAATTCCGTTCGGAATTCCCATCAATTTCTTATAGGAATCCACACGAAGATTATTTAAAGGATTTGTTAGTAATTCGTACGAATACCGCGCACTATTCGGTCGGGAAAGTGGGCGGATATTTTTTTAAACAAATTTTTCAACCAAAATTCCGTTCGGAATTCCCATCAATTTCTTATAGGAATCCACACGAAGTTTATTTAAAGAATTCCTTAGTAATTCGCACGAATACCGCGCAATATTCGGTCGGAAAAGTAGGCGAATATATTTTTAAAAAAATTTTTCATCCAAATTTCCGTTCGGAATTCCCATCAATTTCTTATAGGAATCCACACGAAGTTTATTTAAAGAATTCCTTAGTAATTCGCACGAATACTGTATACTATTCGGTCGGAAAAGTGGGCGGATATTTTATTAAACAAATTTTTCAGCCACAATTCCGTTCGGAATTCCCATCAATTTCTTATAGGAATCCACACAAAGTTTATTTAAAGAATTCCTTAGTAATTCGCACGAATACCGCGCACTATTCGTTCGGAAAAGTGGGCGAATATTTTTTTAAAAATATTTTTCAGCCTAAATTCCGTTCGGAATTCCTATCAATTTCTTATAGGAATCCACACGAAGTTTATTTAAAGAATTCCTTAGTAATTCGCACGAATACCATACGAATTTCGGTCGAAAATTTTTTTTTTGTATTCATTTTTCTGAAAAAAGTTGCACGAATTCCTATTAAATTATGGACGAATTCTGTTTCAAATCGCCACACGGCGTTTTGCAGAATTCGACAGGAAATCTGGACGATATCTAAACGAATTCTTTTGGAAATCTGGACGAATTCCGAACGAATTCCAAACGAATTCCTTACGAATCATTTGCACCTGGGAGGGGGCCATACTTAAATTACGTAACGGTTTTAAGAGCCAGTTCAACACCCTCCCCCCCCTATGTAACAATTTTCGAATTGAAAGGTTCAATTTTTTTAAGGTTATAATCGGTTAAATTTCATAATAAATTATTTTTTAATCCATAATTCATTAACAATCACTCAAATATTCGTAAAAAAGTATTCGTGAAGATCTTTATAATCTTTGTAAATTTTTAGGTCTTTTTTATTTTATTTACTTAATTAAGTACGCTTAAAATTCAAATATTCAATATTTGTTTTAGCTATTTTTATAAAATTACATTCCACAATGTAACCAGTAACTTATTAACTAAAAACAATACTACAAGTCTTTCAGATATTTTGTTTAAAGAAATTATTAAGAATACCTCCACAGCAGGTAAACTTTTCTGAAAATTTATTAAATATTTATCTGCAATATTTGAAGTATTTAATTGCAAAGTTTAGTGAAAATTGTATATAAAGATTTAAATGTTCACGCTAAACTTTTATTTAATCGGGACATATTTGAATTTTTACATAATTTTCAATAAGCTTTGCAATTAAATGCTCCGAATATTGCTGGTAAATATTTAATAAATTATCATAAAACTTTCGGTGTTGTGAGGGTATAATAATAATTAAGAATTTTTTTATAAGAAAATATACATTTCTTGTTTTGAAATTTACTGCAATTGCCCAATGACAAAACTTTTCGAAAAGATTATTTGTTATTTATGTTATGAGGTACGTAATTTTTAATTAAATAAAATAATAATAGACCCTGTCCTTCTTATCATTCTGTCCTCATTCAATTCATGCGTCATTGCATGCATTACAAGAGGACAGAACGATTAAGATAAAAATTCTATGCCGCTTGTTAAAATAAGTTAATAATAGTTACTTTATTGTTTTTATTAAAGAACTAGAAAGCTCCTTAAATTTACACAAAAAATGTTTCACAGAGTAATATATTACTGTCAGTATGCGTTATATGTGATATCCAAATTCCTACTTTGGAAGCAAAAGATCACCCTTGTTTTGTTGGGTATAATATTGACGAATTGTACTCATTTGCTGATTATGTGGGCCCCAGCGAAGATATTGATTTGTTGATAGAAGATATGCGCCCCGAATATCTAGAGAAAGATGTGAGTAAAGCGTTATAATTAATAATAATGACGAATAATAATATAATGAATATAATAAACTAAAGTAATTTTATCACTAGGCTAAATGATCTTTATAAGAGAAAATATTTTTTAATACTAATCCTGATTTCCTATATTTTTTTCAGCGCGAAATGACTGAACCTTCTTTTAAGAAAGGCAAATTAAATAAAGAACCTGCAAATGATAATAAAATGATTCAAAATGATGATGATGTGAGCATTGCTGTAAACGAAAACGTTGAACTTAGTATGTTTTTAATTTTGAAAATACATTTTATATTTTATTTATTATTTTTTTCTCTTACAACCCTAACAATTGTTAAGAATGTAAAATCACTTTTTTCCCATTAAATAGATATATTAATATTACTTTTCAGATAAGAATGGAAATGCTAAAAAAAATACTGAAAATTATATGCTACTAATCGACTTGATTAAAGAATTTCCAATTCTCTGGAACCACAAAATTCCTATATTGGAAAGAAATCCGCTTGCAAAATCAAAGGCATGGAATCAAATTTTGCAAAATTTTCCAGGTGACATTTTTTTTCTTCTAATAAATAAATATAAATTATATGCAATATATTATTAGTATAATCCCATTTATTAGATTTCTACTTTATATTTTAAAGTTGTATTCTACAAAAATGCACAAGACAATGTTTGGTAATTTTTTTTCTTAAATTGTATTTTTGACACGAGTATTAATAAGCAGTTATTAACTTTTGAACTTAAAAATTTTAATTTTTTTAAAATATGGTTTTTTTTACATAAATTCTATATTTGTAGGTTGGAGTAAAGAGTTCATGATGAAAAAATTTAATTCGTTAAAAGAAGTATATACAAGGCGCAAAAGTCATGTACCTAGTGGTTCGGCCCAAAGGGCACAACGCTATTGGATATTTGATGATTCCTTTTCGTTTTTAAATGATGTTATTGCACCTGCAGCGTAAGGAAATTTTAAATTTTTTTGTCATATCTTAAACGCCATGAAATCAGGAAAAACGTCTTTATTTTTATTTATGAATCTTACAGTTTTAAATATAAAAAATTTATAGAAACTATATTTTTGATTTTTGATTTTCTAATTTATGAAATTCAGAACCATCAGCAATGTTCCAGCTTCCAATGCACCCGAAGAAAATAATAATAATGATAAAGTTCTCAGTGAATTGGGATTTAATGTAAAAGGAAAAGGACCAGTTGCAGAAATGACAAAAAGTATGGTTACATTTTTTCCTATTTTCTAGAATAATGTAACACTTTTAAAACGGTCTCTGAAATATTTAAATATATTTTATAACTTTATATCTAGTAACATTTATTACTTTTTTTAATTCCTCAAAATTGTAAATGTTTGAAATATAGGCAAACTCTACAGTTTTTAAAAAATAAACTTAATTTAATTATGATTAATCAAATAAAGCATGGTTTGTAAAACACGTATTCTTTGAAACATTTCAAATAAGTTTTCGAAAATTTTTAAATTTTAATAATGATATTATATACATTAATAAAAATACAAATCTTCATTTCAAAAATTAATTTTGTAGGCACACGAAAGAAACAAACCCCTTTCGATGCAGGTATAATGAAATGCATTGAAACATTATCTTCGCCGCCGCCTCAAGTGCAATTTACCAGCTGTGAACAATTTGGTATATTTATAGGGAAGGAACTTGAAAAATTGGATAACGATTACCAAAGAATGGATGCTCAAATAAAAATAATGAAGGTTTTGCAAGATGCAATATGCCGTTAAGAAAATGTGTTTAGTAATCATTAAGTTGTATTTAATCATTTTTGAATTTATATATAATGTTCGAAGTTTTAACGTTAATACTATTATTTTGAGATTTACGTAACAACCACTTGTGATTGATGTTACCTGTGTTACAAAGAAAATGACTGATTAGATATATATATATTTATAACATTTGTCTAACGATTAGAATATTTAATGTATCAATTAAGGTGATTATTTTTGTATCAAAGTTAACTAATTTTTAGGCAACAAATTTTACTTCAAGCTGATGTTAAAAACACAGTAAAAAGTTGTCTATATTGGTGTTATAAAAGTGTTCATTTAATTTTTAATTAAATGTGATATGAGAACGATTAAAAATGTAAAAATTAAGATACTGCATGAAAAAATTGTGATCTCGAATTAGTTTATATAAAACACACTGATGAAGAAAATTTTGTGCAACATTTATTTATTTATTTCTTTTACATACTAACTCAACTATCATCTTCAAAAATAGCTCTATCCTGCCATGGAACTTTTCCTGCCCCCATAAAAAAATCTTTAAAATGATTTCTAATTGCTCTAGCTTGATTCTTTCTTGCTGTCACTGACAGAGGTATTTCCAAAGGCTGTAAAGCACTGTCATCAATATTTACATTTTAATCGGCAGCGTTGGCAGAGCAATAATTTTTCAAATCACGAGGCAATTTTTTTTCTTCTTTTAGAATAAAATTATGTAAGCATACGGTGGCTAGGACAATTAATTTTACAACGGCTAAATTAGCCATGATCGGGGTTCGAAAAATTCTCCACATTGCAACTAAAATGCCAAAAGCATTTTCAATGGTTCTGCGGGCTCTGCTCAATCGATAATTGTAAATGTTTTTATCTTTAGAAAGATTCCCACTATTCGCTCCTTTAAAAGGCGTTAAACAATGTCGACTATTTTCAAATGCTGCATCACCAATGAACACCATTGGCATTTTTGGTCCTTCAGGGTAGAGAGACATTGGAGCCGGAAGATTCAAAGTATCTTCCTCTAGAGCATGAAAAAATTGGCAGTTTTTTAAGATCCCGCCATCACTTTGTCTCCCCTTGCCACCTACATCTACCATAGTAAAATTATAATTCGCATCTGTCATTGCAAGAAGAACAATGCTATGAAAATTCTTGTAATTAAAATAGTCCGAGCCTGTATCGGGTTGTGCCTAAAAATGTAAAAAATTGTTTATTTAAAATATTTTTTAACTCTTTTACAATCATATTCATTTAAAAATTAATATACTTTTAAGATTTACGAAAGTTTAAAAAATAATACATTAATATATCATACATTATTATTTTTAATTTTTATTAATTATAAAATTTAAGGAATTATAAATAGAAAGCCGTTTTGGAAAAATAGAAGCAAAAAGTTCACGTCTTTTGAAGTTTATAAACTTAATTGAATTAAGATTTTCATACCCTGCTAAAAATAAAATCAGAAATAGTGACAAAACGTCAGAATCTGTGACATTTTGTGACTTCTCTGACGTTTCCTGAGACCCAAAACTGACGCGTGCCTAATGTTACTGATCCTATTCATTTTAATCACCAAAATCATCCCCAATAAATTATTTTTTGCCAAAAATTTTAAAAAAACGCACTATGTGTAGGTGTGTAAATGTAAAGTACCGTTGCATTTTCAAATTTGTATGCATCCCTTTTCTACACAATAGAATCGCAGGTCTACTGTTCAGAGCTTCGGGTTTTTAACCTGAATTTTATTACTCTGAAGTTTTGCAATTTTAACTTTTAAAATGAAATGAATAAAAATTCAGAATCCACACTTCTTTACGATTACAAATATATACAATATATCATATAAAACATTTTTTCAACGAAACTGTAACGTATCTCGAAAACCGTAATTACTGGATAAAAACTGATATCATTTTTGAATTTATGTTCTAAGAGATATATTGAAACATATTAAGAATAAATGTTAATCATTTGACTTCATGAAAAACAAATATGTTTAAATAAATATAAACCCTTAAAAAGTTAAAAAATTTATCCTTCAACTTAATGACGGTCAGAGGCCTTGAACGAGACCTTTTTCCAGGTAAAGGGTCCGTACCTATACCTTGCATAAAAAACCTCACTACTTTTGGCGTTTCCTGACTAAACTGACCTGATCTGACTATCTGTGACTGCAAATGTAACAAAAGTAGTTCAAAAACGTCAGGGATTCTGACTATTTTCCTGACGTTTCCTGACTTTATTTTTAGCAGAGTATTATGAAAAGACAACATACGAGTGCAACAAAATTTATACGCAAGAAAAGCATTATTGTCCTTTAATTTTATAAATTTAAATAAATTCCGCAACTTAATTTTTGGTTACCTGCATTAGGACGTGCTTTCCATCAATGGAACCAAAGCAGTTTGGAAACTGCCACTTTTCATTAAAGTCGTTTATTAGCACATTCCAAGCCTCCACAGTGTCCGGAAATGCAAGTACTTCAGGCTGTAATGTTCTCCACAAAATTAATAATGTTTCTGGAATAAATACTTGAATTGTTTTGATTCCCATTCGAAATTGTCGTGATAATGAAGTATAAGACTCTCCTGTTGCAAGATACCTAAAAAAATTTGAAAGTTACTACAGACATAACGTACATTATATATTGATCTAGGGGGGCTTCGCCTCCCTGCGCGCTTCGCGCGTGAACTCCCCTATTTTGAATTAAAAAATTTTAAAACTTAATGTTAGTATAAATTCTATTGCATCAATACATCAACAGTTAATTTAAAATGACAAAAATATTCATTCCTTGACTTTGAGATTTGAGAGTATAGAGTCAAAAATTCGAAGGTCAAAAAATACTTAAAATTTGACCTATATTCTGAAGGTAGAAAGAGTTTCCGGGGGTTTCCAATCCCCCTTGGAATCGTAGGTTAAATATGACCTGAATGTTGACCTTAATTTTGAGGGTAGTGAAGATGAGAGAAAGTTTTCTCTTCTAATACCTAGGTCAGAAATAAATTTAAATTTGACTATTCGGGAAATTGTCTTTCCGGAAGACAATTTCGGGAAAATGTACAGCCTAGCCGTCATCCCCCATCCTAGAGGTCAAAAAATCTTGAAACAGCGGCGACGGCGTCGGCGAAGATATCTTTTTGTAATATAAGAAGATATTTAAGAATTATGAAACCTTTAAATTAAATGAGGAAACTACAAATAACATTAAAAAATTCATTACCATGTTTCATAAATATTCTTATTATTTTAAAAATCTGTAAAGGAAGATTGTAATCAATAATTTTTTATAAAAAGCATTATTATGTATCTACTATTTATTCAATTATCATTTTTACAAAGTTTCAAAAAAATAAAAGTAATATTATTTTCTAAATGTATGAAATTATTTAAAAATTAAATATTTACCTTAAAGTTACGATTAACTTTTCGGATGGTGAGATTATGTCTTCTCTCGTGGGATAGCTTTGTAGACTTTCTCCTACTTTTATTAAAAGTTTCTCAAATGTAGAGACAGACATGCGAAGATAATTCTTAAACATTACTGGATCATGCATCACCATTTCTTTAACTAATGAATTATGTGCACCTAAATTATTAAAACAAAATTTATAAATTATTACATTTATAAATTAAAAAATAATGTTAATTTTCTTTTGCTCTTCAATAAGCATACCAAATATTGAACGTTGGAGCCAAAGAGGATGTACTCTGTACTTTCGACTTCTTCGATTTTTATTTTCATGTATCATTTTATTTAATAATAAGAGGGCAAGTTTCTTCTTAGTAATCTGTAAATAAATATTATGAAATATTAAAATTATTATAATTTTTATTAAATTCATATTACATTAATATTAATTTAGTGCACATTATTTTCAAAACAAATAAACAATATGCAACTTAATCTCATAAAAGAAATAAATTTCATTAATGAGTCAATGATTAAACTAATATAATTTAGATATATTTCTTTTATTGAATGTGATTTAAAATTTTAATTATTATTTTATGTCTAGTATTATTATTTTTATAACACATGTAAAAAATTTTGATTTTAGGCGGACTTAATTTAAGTAAATAAAATAAAAAAGACCTAAAAATTTACAAAGATTATAAAGATCTTCACGAATACTTTTTTACGAATATTTGAGTGATTGTTAATGAATTATGGATTAAAAAATAATTTATTATGAAATTTAACCGATTATAACCTTAAAAAAATTGAACCTTTCAATTCGAAAATTGTGAATATCAGTTAATAAATCTTTAATCAGAAAAATATATTACCTGCAATTCTGAGTCCTCCATTTCTTAAAATTAATAAATTCGATGAGATGATCAAAATTTTAATTGCTTAACAATGATTTTTATTAAACAAAATCACTTTATACCGCGCGGTCTCTAATCGAGTTTGTTGTCATAATATTGCAACCGGCTCATCGCGCATGCGAAGCATTATCTTTTCTACAAACATCTGCTTGATCATAATAGAAAAATATTTTCAACACATTTCTGGAAATATATTCGCTTCTTATTAAAAAAATTTTTACACAAACATAATTAACTGCATTTTTTACAATATAACTTATTTATTAATGTTTCACAAGTTTTTATCTTTTGCTAATCGCAGATTAATTCACAATTATTCAAATCATCCCGCCATAGAATCAATTTTCTAACTTGCTTTCCAAGATAGAAAACTCATTTCCAACTGAGGAAACTGTTACACGACGGAAACATACTCGGGATCGGTGAGGTATACAAGCGCCTTAACACACATGTTTATAATATTAAAAAAAGGTCATTTTTATGACGGAAAAGAAATTGCATATTTTTATAATAGTATAAAAAAAATTAAATGTATAAGGCTCACATTTAAAAGATGAATACTTTTAAATAGAACTGACGCACAGGTCGATAAGAAACGAATATAAACAAAATAATGGAACAAACAGCTATCTTCAGCTTTGTTCGTTCAATTTGACCTGAGTTTGTTGTGCTGATAATTCAGGATAACTTTTTTTGAAAGCATCGAACAGTCTTTTGTATAGTTCACTAAAATCGGTCTTCATATTAAATTAAAACCAAATAATTCATCAAAAATCATTAATTCCAATGAATTTATTAAAGAAACTAATCCAACGAAATCTGGGAATACACATTGACATGCACCTGTAGCACTGAAATTCATTCTTATGTTGGACTCACTGCTTTACAAACATTAGTTGCCGATTCCACTCACCAGAGTCGCTAGAGGCAGCTTCCGTAAATAAGCGCCAAATTTAATTTCCAGAAAATTTTATCAGTAAATAAACTTTGTAATTCGTTTCTTAAAATAAAAAAAAAGTACGTACAGCCATTCAGCAACCCCCCTCCTCCTCCCTACTGTAACAAAGTGTAACAGCTATTCGCAACCCCTCCCCCCCCCTGTCAGCCGTTACGTAATTTAAGTATGGCCCCTAGGCGGATTTTCGATAAAGGCAGAGTGTGCGGTAGACTTCTGCGCATACCAATACATACAAGTTTCAGTAATTCTTGACAAGGCAACAAAAATGTATATGTATTGGTGTGCGCAGAAGTCTACCGCACACTCTGCCTTTCGGCCTACCTCGAAAACCAATTCTTTACGTACCCCCACTACCTGAGTTAGACCTCCTTATTCTAGTCTTCTTGGTGCCACTTGTGGAAAGTGGATTTTTTGAAGGGTCATTCACAAATATGACAATTCCGTTGGATCCTTTTGCCGTCTATTTCGTCAGTGCTTTTCATTTCAGGTATAATTTCATCCGGGCAAGTCCGTTTAATGTTTCTGAATAAAAATGAATTTGTTATTTTTTAATTGAAAATACATGTAAAAGATTACATTTCAGTGTAAACAAATAATATTGACATCTTTATTAATCTTAAATATTCATAAAAATATACTTTTGATTTTAAAAAATAAAATCCTCTTCATGTATTTTAAATTAAAAAATGACAACATAACCAAAAAATCTTATTTTTATTCTAAACTAAGAAAAATTTAAAAAAAACTAAGAAAAAACTTCCGCTTAATTCTTAGTGGAATCCTTAGTTTATTAATATGTATATTTACGTTTGGAAGGAGTATTTATGTGTGAACTCTGGCGGTTTGTGAAAACTGAAATTTCACTGAATTCGGTGAAAATTCGGTAAATTTCGGTTTGAGGCAAAATTTTGCAGCAAATCAGTAAAATATGATGAAAAACATGATTGATAATGATAAATGATCAAAAAAAATTTCCTTGTCTGTAACATTCTCTGTAGATTCAATTTTACTGTTTCAATTTTTTTTGTAATTAATTATGAAATTAAAATAAATAATAAATACATAATAATATAAATATTTATTATATTTATTTTAATTATTTATGAATTCCATCAGTGCTTAATAATTAATAAATATAATAATGAATTCACATAATGCTGTGAATGCCTGTGCAATGCGATTTTACCGGTGGCCACACAATACGTAGTGAAGTATGTTCTCCCGCTGTATGTATTACCATAAGCGATAGAGCTTTTTGTTCAATGACAAACATCAGATGGCACTACTGTATTACTTTAAATCAGTTTGTTAAAGAGTCTTCTACTGTCTTCTTGGATTCTTATAAACTTCGGGAAAACATGTAACACCTATATTAAAATTCATATATATATATATATATATATATATTGTAATTAAATTATTATTATAAACATAATTTAATTATTATGTATTATTAGTGTATATTTATAATGTTTATAATTAAAGTAATTTATAAATAACATTTTTTTGCAATATTAATAATTTATGCATTACTAATGAATTTGAACTGTTTATTGTACAAATTGACACCTTACGAATATATATTTAATGCAAAGAAGATAAAATAAAATTTTCATACAGATCTAATGTATAAAAAATATTATTTTTATAATTCTATAATTAAATGTTTAATTTGTATAAAGTACAGTTTTTTTTATTTATTTACAGTGAAAATAATTAATTTAAGTAGTTTAAAAAAAATTTCCTTGTCTGTAACATTCTCTGTAGATTCAATTTTACTGTTTCAATTTTTTTTGTAATTAATTATGAAATTAAAATAAATAATAAATACATAATAATATAAATATTTTTATAATATATATTACATTATAAATATACACTAATAATACATAATAATTAAATTATTTTTATAATAATAATTTAATTACAATATATATATATATATATATATATATATATATGAATTTTAATATAGGTGTTACATGTTTTCCCGAAGTTTATAAGAATCGAAGAAGACAGTAGAAGACTCTTTAACAAACTGATTGAAAGTAATACAGTAGTGCCATCTGATGTTTGTCATCGAACGAAAAGCTCTATCGCTTATGGTAATACATACAGCGGGAGAACATACTTCACTACGTATTGTGTGGCCACCGGTAAAATCGCATTGCACAGGCATTCACAGCATTATGTGAATTCATTATTATATTTATTAATTATTAAGCACTGATGGAATTCATAAATAATTAAAATAAATATAATAAATATCTATTTATTAGGAATAAATACATTTTTCACCATTTTCACGTGATTTATTCATGAAATTAAAGGTAAATCGCGCATTGACACACTGATAATAAACACTATAGCACTTTGCACATTAATTATTTATTAATTACTGATTAATTTACATCCACTATTGCACAAATCAACTCACAAAAGCCTTATTTATCATTATCAATCATTTTTTTCATCATATTTTACTGATTTGCTGCAAAATTTTGCCTCAAACCGAAATTTACCGAATTTTCACCGAATTCAGTGAAATTTCAGTTTTCACAAACCGCCAGGGTAACTATAATAAGTTTGTTCGATGACATTTATTAATATGCTAAAGGTGCTTATATACCTCAAATTTCGATCAGATGAACATTATTTCTGGACCGTGAAAATGCGTGAAAAGTCATTTTCACGGCGGGTATTTTTGAATTGTTTTAAACAAAAAATGTTTTTTTAAGAAATATAATATTAAATAATTGTTTTAATATGTAAGAACACTTTAAAATAGTGATAGAGAGATGATTTGATTAAAAAAATTAGCAAATTTTGCTTTAAAACGTTTTCTGCTACAAGAAAGTGTAAATTGACGATGTTTGTGAAATGGTTTGTACAGTGCTTCTTCCTTGTGAGTGTCTCTCAGAGTTTTGTTTATGTTATGTCGTTTCTTTTTAACTTGTAATAAATAATGAGTGCTGAAAATAAATCGGTAAGTTGAAATGTTTATCAAATAAATTTAAATTCTACTAATTGTTTCGAATAACTGAAAGAAACATGTACACATGTACACTGTACAAACCATTTCACAAACATCGTCATTTTAGACTTTCTTGTAGCAGAAACGTTTTAAAGCAAAATTTGCTATATTTTTTAATCAAATCATTTTTCTATCACTATTTTAAAGTGTTCTTACATATTAAAACAATTATTTAATATTATATTTCTTAAAAAAACATTTTTTGTTTAAAACAATTCAAAAATACCCGCCGTGAAAATGACTTTTCACGCATTTTCACGGTCCAGAAATAATGTTCATCTGATCGAAATTTGAGGTATAAAAGTACCTTTATATTACTAATATCTTATAAAATTCATTTCTTCTTCTTCACATGAAATTGAAATGAAAAGCACTGACGAAATAGATAGCAACAGGATCCAACGGAATTGTCATATTTGTGAATGACCCTTCAAAAAATCCACTTTCCACGGCACGGAGTCTGTCCAACAAGTGGCACGAACTAACGAACTTGCCACAAGTTGGACGGACTTTATGGAAACAACTGTGTTGTTACCCATAAGCGTAGCTTGGAAGCCACTAGTCGTTTCGTCCCGGTCCCCACTACTGGACTCATCAGTAAGGCTACGTAGTGGGAAACCTGCCTTATACGACCATGGGGAAGTGAGAGTTGGATCGTGTATATATGCTACACGCCAAGCAACATCTACACTTGTGAGAGAGCACATGGGTATTGACCAATGGCAGAGACATCCATTGGCCAACCCCCACAACTTCGTGCCACTTGTGGTACGAAACACCGCCACTTGCGTCTGAGACGCTCGTGAGCCGTACAGGCTTCCGTAGAAATACCATAAAATTGCACGTACGCGTGCATGCATGTCGTCAATTCAACTTGATTTTGCTACATTTAGCCTACATGTGTACGTACCTTTGGGTGGCCTATATGCGCAGTGATGGGTACGTATAATACATGACGTATAATACGTGGTTTTCTACGTGTATAATACTACGTATATTACGTGCCAAGTTTTCTACACGATGTATATTACATTTGATCACGTGATTTAAGAGCGGCAATTTTAAATTCTTCATTAAATTACATCATTCATTACTTTACACTATTGAAAGAGAAAGTTGTTAATATAAACAAAATTTAGGTAATTATTAATTTTAACAATTATAAAACAAAATTTTTAATTATTGAAATGTTTTTATATCGGTTTTATTTCTAAGTTGGTTTCACAGATAAGAGTGAACACCATGCCCGTGAAGTTAGCACCACAACTTAA